TCATTTTGCATCTGTCACGAACACTTTTTAGTTTTTTGGGAATAAAAAACGGAAAAGTGTTTTTTAAAAGGTTTATTGGTCTCAATAAACCCTTTTTGATAGTTTATTAATCTACGACTATTTCTTAGAGTGTAGTACGAACTAATAAAAGAATCAAGTCTCACCACACTCTGAAATTTTCGTGTCATTTGGACTGATTCGAAGTGAACTATGTAGCGTAGCTCTTAAGATTATGTAGAGACAGCCTAAATTGCTTAGTTTTTACTAGATTTCAGAACCTTTTCTTGGAAAACAAATATGGAGAATAGAATTCGAATGTGATATAATCTGTAATTCAATCGTTTTCAAAATTGCTTATAGTCGAGTCACACCAGTCATAGGACATCCGATGACACACCTACACCATGAAAAATTGATTAATGTGAATATTTTTTCTAAAAATATGCAAAACTTTGTTTCTTGAGTTCCTCTTTTCCAGTGTGATGAAGGAAAGCAGAAAAAGAAATCTATTTCGAACGAATGTAGAAATCATGAAAAAGAAGAGTAATCTGTATTGCTGCAACTAAGTACATAGTCTTTTAATCGCTGTTTAAAAAAACTTTTCGTTTCCGTTGGTTTTGGAAAACTTTAGTTTTATTCAGTTCGAGAAAAATACAAACCGTTTTATCTTTCTTTAAGAAGGTATAGAGAACACTTTGGATTGTAAATTGACGTTATGATACATATATATTATGAGAGATTATCCATTGGGATTCGATATTTCAGAGATGGATGAGATCTATCAACTGTATATGGTAGACCAAACTTGATGTTTTATTAGTTTGCGCTCCGAGATACTAAATGCCGAAAACCGCAGTTATCTATCTCTTTTCTTTCGAAAGTTATTTAGCAAAAAGCAGACTATATTCTATTTTGAGATTAATTTAAAAAGATGAGACATCGCGAGTTTTATCATAGTTAGTTAGGTGAATTTGATGGGAAAAGTGATCAAATAGAAACCAGTGATTGTGATAATACTGAATAAAGCTTTTATTACAATGTCAATGTCTACTCGTAGGTACTATGCTTAATTTTAACTGTGCATTAATGCTGGTACTGATGTTAAGAAAACATATCACATGGCTACGTACAAAAGGTAATAAGAATTTCAGTAAATTGACAAACTTATAATTTTTTACTTTTATTCTTCCATAGGTGCTGTAATTTTATTACCACTTGATTATCATATTGATTTACATAAAATAATTGGTATTATTCTATTGTGTGAAACAATCCTACACACACTTGCGCATATAGCTTATTTGAGTAAGTGTAAGAAAATTTTACATCATTCTTTAATTATTTGTTGTATATGTATAGTTTATGTATTCAAAATGTGTCCATTACCAAAGGATATTGGTTATGTTTGTCAGAATAATCCTTCTCTCAATAGTACAAAATTTTATCGTTATGATTCGCGCCTCGATTATTGTGTTCCATTTGATTATAAAGGATGTGGAGGAAATTTAAATAAATTTTCAACTGAAGCATTATGCACGTTACGTTGTTGTAAGTAGTCGAATATTTCTGTTGAAATTATCTTTTAGAAAGATTCATTTTATGTTATAGCTGTTTACAAATATTCTCACCATCATATCACAGAACTCTTTTTTACGGCAAAAATCGGTTTCGGCTATTTTACTGGAATTGTGGAACTTCTTCTATTGGCACTTATCTATGTTATGTGTCTACCATTTGTACGAAAAGGTGGTCATTTTCAGGTAGGTGTGTATATTTGTAGGATTTGGTGAGAGTATCAATGTTGATATTTCTAGTTGTTTTATTGGTGCCATATGTTAACATTACCTTGGCTAGGTATTATGTTACTTCATGGACCAAGATTTTGGAAATGGTTATTAGCACCAGCTCTTCTTTATACAATTGAAAAAATTTTACGTTATCGTAAATCACGCTCTCATAAACATGGTGAAACTTACATAATGGAAGCAATTTTATTACCATCACAGGTGAATGAATAAAATACTTTTTTTTATTCTTTCTGATACTTAACACTTTTATTTTATTGATTACAGGTGATCCATTTAGTCATTAGTAAACCGCGAAAATTTATCTATAAACCAGGTGATTATATTTATATTAATATTCCTGCCGTAGCACATTGTGAATGGCATCCATTTAGTATCAGTAGTGCACCTGAACATAAAGGTAATTAGAAGATTTTTAATTCTAGTAAAATTATAAATTTTTCATGTCGATTTCACAGATAGTATTTGGTTACATGTACGTGCATGTGGTCATTGGACACGACGTGTTTATGAATTATTTCGACAAAAATTAAAACAACAACATGGTGGTATACTCGATGATTACAGTGATCTTCGTCTACGTATATCGATGCGTTCACGCATGTCAAGAAGTTATATTGAAGAATTACGCGGTATAGAAAAAAATAATAATCAATCAGACAGTCGATTAGCCACACTGAATAACAAAGTATACCCTGGTTCTTTTACAATGCCAAAACATACTCATGAATCAATGTCAGTCACTAGAAGATCCATGGCAAGTTTACGCGAAGTCAAATTACAACGTATTACAGAAACGGATAGTGGTCAATTTAACGATGATAATAGTGAAAATATTCGAATGATGAGTAAAACTGTTGTATTAGATCCGAATAATTTAACAAATATGACCACAGATGAAAATGAGAAAATAGACTATGATCAAGAAGGCACAATTGATATAAATAGTATACGAGCTACTACATCACCTACTGTTGAATTTAAATCAAGTCAAATACGTAACAGTATATCGGTAACGACAAATAATGGTCGTAGTAGTTTCAATATACGTATACCAAAAACACCTGATGATGACAGTCAAGAGCGACCATCGGATGCACTAGGCTATTTGAGAATGTATAAAGATCGTAATCGTATTGATTTTGAATCATTACAGTTTAATGAACGAGAAGATTTACAGGTAAGTTTCAAATTTTTAATGTTGAAATAAATAGAAATGAATTATATTTTAGATTTTAATCGATGGTCCTTATGGTGCACCATCACAGCATATTTTTGAAGCAGAACATGCTGTTTTGATTGCTGCTGGTACGTTATCTTTCTTTCTTTTAATATTGTTCAGTCATTTTTTAACTGATCCTGTTTAATTGGATATGCGTGCATTTAGGTATTGGTATTACACCGTTTGCAAGCATCCTTCAAAGTATTATGTGTCGATACAGAAACCGACGTCATAAATGCCCTAAATGTCATAGTATTTGGAATAATAGTGCTGATCATGAACAACTTGCCGTGAGAAAGGTAAGTATTTTACTCTGGTATATATTAGAAATCATTTTTTTATACTTTATCCCGTAGTTTATTTATTCAATCCAAACGTTTCGGTGTTTTATACACCTTCTTCAGTGGACAGTGGATAGATAATTAAGAAAACATAATTGAACGATAAGAAATATAAAGCTAAAATTCATAACATCTAAAAATGTGAATTAGGATATTGATAAGAATCACTAGTTTTTCGTTACTTTTCCTTTCTCTCTCGGTCTAAGTTATGAGAGCGGAAAAACCGCCCAACATCAACAGAACTCATAACTTAAGACCGAGAGAGAAAGGAAAAGTAATGAAAAACTAGTGATTCTTATCAATATCCTAATTTATTTTTTATCGTTCAATTATGTTTTCTTAATTATCTGTCCACTGTCCACCGAAGAAGGTGTATAAAACACCGAAACGTTTGGATTGAATATATAAACTACGAGATAAAGTATAAAAAAATGACTTCTAATATACAACAAACTCGTAAAAACGACTTACAAACATTTTACTCTGGTATATTTCTTACAAATTTTGTGTACATTTGATTATTTTTTATTTAAGGTTGATTTTATATGGGTAACACGTGATCAACGTTCATTAGAATGGTTTATTAGTTTACTATCACAAATGGAAATTGAACAAAAACGTTTACGTGCCGGTGAACATGAAGATCCTTTGTTAGAAGTTCATCTTTATGTCACGTCAGCTCGTCGTTTAAGTGATTTGAAAGCATTAAATGTTTATCTATCATTAGATTTAGTTGAACATAAAGAAAATAATCGTGATAATTGGGATGCGGTTGATGGAATTAGACGACGAACAAAACATGGTCGACCGGATTGGGATCAAGTAAGGGAAAGAGATGACATTATTAATGACATAACGAATGACAGAAAGTTACTCTTGAACATATATTCTATGATTTTAATTATCAGCCTAATAGCAAAAGTTAATACTAGAATTTATTTCGCAAAGATAAATTATTCTTATTTGAACTTACACAGTGGGGAAAAAGTATCTTTTGCTAATATTAATAATTAAATAATATAAAGACTTTTTCTCTCACATAAGAGAAACTCAGCTCGTTGTTTGACGTGTATTATACATTTGAAAACGTGTCTTCAAAGTTGAAAGAATGGGTGTATTGGCATAGTTTGATCACACTAAATTATAGTGTTCTACAGATAATGATGTACCCTCCCTCTTTTACAAATTATATACCTCCGTCAATAGGATTTTTGAGAAATAGATGATAGAAACGGATAAAATTAGAGTTATGAGTGAAAGAGATGAATAAAAATGATGGTAGATACATCATCTATGGGTATGTGACAAAGAAAGAGTAGATTATAGTTAAATTTACATTAATAATACGTATCATATATCCTGAAGAGGATAAGGAATTTAATATTATTATTGTAGAATGAATAGGAGCATGACCCTTTTACTTACTGCATCGAAATTATTATTTATCATAGAACATGAGTTATAAGGTGAAGGTTTAATTTCATTTAGGTATTTACCGAATTACTTTGTCAAAAGAAAGGTAAAATTTCTGTATTTTACTGTGGACCACCGGCATTAGTGCCCGATTTGAACGATAAATGTAAACAATATGGATTTGCATTCAAAAAAGAACTATTTTAATACTTTTTTCAAAATTTTCTTTTTTTTTAATGTTTAGTAAAATATATTCAATTTTTATTTTTTATTTTAACTTTGTGTAATGATTATTTTTTTTTGTGATTCTAGTGTATAAAAAGTTAATAAAAATTATATAATGTATCTTATTTTTAACAGTATGTTGGCAATACTTTAATGGAATACACAACACGTTCATCATGAAGATGAGAAAAAGAAAATAATCATATTTTTAAAAAAAGTATCCATTGAAGAAAAATCAAATAATAATATGATGATGAATCCAATAAAATATCTCTTTTACTTTTCCAATTATAATTAAAATTTAGAGATATGTTTGTTATTTTTCATTCTTATCTACATATACTTGACTCGATGTCGATAAGTAAATTCAAGAACATTAAATAATTAATATTTTTCTTAACGAAATTTTTGAGGAACTAAATAACCTAAGAAATGTATATCAAATAACTGGTAAACGAAGGCATTTCTTTTTGATGTAGAGTATTTTACTGTATTAAGTGCTCATTTGTAAAAATTTTAAATTTCTAAAAATATCTCTTAAAATATCTCCCTCGAGAAGAGAGCGAGAAAATTTTCTTCTTATTTTCATAACTGTTTGAAGTTATTGTTAATTATTTATCTTCTCTCTTAAATGTCATCATGTTCTTAGAATATAAAATTAAACATTGAACTGGCTACATCTCAAAAGAGATGCTCATGCTCCATTTTGATGTTGTTCGATCTTGCAAAATTAATGATGACAGCTTTGTATCTTTTGAGAAGTTTCGATTGAATAATTTCAATCATTGTACAAACAGACTATAGAAAAGAATAGAGAAGTTTGATTTTTGCAGATCAAAGTTCGTATGTTCGGTATTGGCTTTGTGCATCGATTGATTTTGTATTTTGATAGTTTAAGTTTCAGAATGATATAATAGGAATTTATATTCTCGATTTCGTTCTGCTTCGCGACCAAAGCTTAAGCCAATTACTTTCAGTTTGTTCGTCACAACAGAGCAGAGCAGAGAGAAGGTCAAGTGCATGTGTTCTGAATAAATATTAGGTTTAAAACAGTTGAAAGTATTAGAATATAAGGTCTGCTGTTATAGATGTCTCAAAAAAATTTTCATACTTTGCCTATAAAAATATCCCGGGCGGCACTGTCTGTGTGCACCGATGCGCATGGCATGTCATTGGCACTGGCTGGCACCGATGCGCATCCGTGCCCAGCAGATGCCGAACCAATGCCGATATATTTCTGCCCAAAAAGTGTCGCACTGAATATTTAATCAATTTAATTAGGTTTTTATTATGATTGTTCATACTGAATTTTGTATTAGAGTGCGGCACTGATCAGTACCACATTGACATGCGAAAACCATGCGGCATTGCCTCAGCACCTCCCTTATGACAAGGAAAAGATGAAGTCAGAAAGACATTCGAAATATTAGAAGTAGACTGTGATGTTAATATACACAGAAATGGACAAAACAAACTGGTGATTGAAAACAAAATTTTGGCACTGGTGCGCACCGGTGCGCGACAAACGGGCGTTGTAGTTTTACAGTTTTGAAAATACTGAATCGTGTAGACCTAAAATTGGTGCCTACCTCCGACTATATATTCTGAAAAACTCGAAATACAAAAATTTTCGAGAAAGACTTTCGGTTCAATTATTGCGCATTATTGTTAGATTTTGTTATTGATATCTCTTAAAGTTTTATGCCAAAAATGTGACGTGCACGAACTAGGAATCTTCTTGATTTTGCTTGAATGAGACAGAGTAAAACAAATGAGTTAACAAACAAAACCCATAATCTAATACTTTCAATTGCTTAGTTTTCATAAAAATTAACAGTGAACAACGGCATAATACCAATATAATTATAACAGCAGGTACAATCGTGTAATAGCATAACAGCTTTTTTGTTTTGACAAATATTTATAATGAAAGTAATGTCAGATTGTTAGACGATGCGAATTCAACTTGAAATAAATAGAGAACAACAATTTTATAACATGAATAAATTTTAAATAAAAAGTTTATTAATTTAGTAGATGTGATGATAATGCGTTTTGAACTTTGTAAGTTTTCATTTGAATAGAGATATAGGTCTACAGTCGTTCGATGGTGACGTGACGTAGTTATTATGATATTTACTCCCTCGCGATTGTGTGTCTGTACTCAAAATGTAATTCTTTTTTTTTCAAAAAAAAGAGTATATATATATAAGACATATATAAAACCGTATTTCATTTGTGTTTTAACAATTTATTATTTTAACAAAGTAGGTAGATAATTGAATGCATAGTTTATTTTGTTGAAAAGAGAATCTTGCTTTATAGGATAAATTTATTAGAAAGTAAATGTAAGAACAACTTCTGTTAATAAAGATAATCTACAAAAAATGTGTTGAGAATTTGAATGCACAATAAAAACTGGTTGAAATATCTCTTGTTTTCATTATACATTTTTTTGACATGACTCTAGACATTTTTATTTTGAATATATGCGACATACGTTATTGTTGTTATTTATTAATTTGAACCAAATACGAGTTCAATTGAATATTTTATGTCAAAAATATATCAATAACTAATGGAACAGATGTAATTTTACCTTACGTTAACAAATACAACATTAAAAATCTGCATAGATTCAATTCTGTCTATGAGTAGAATGATATAAAAGATGAGTGTTTGTAACTCATAAAGTTAATAAAAACTCTTATAAAATTATGTCTACTATCAAATTTCTATATTAATTAAAATTTTTTGTTGTCTCTAACATTTTTTTTTGGCTATTTTTTGACAAAAACATCTACGTGCTTCAATCTTTAATAAGATTGCTAATTATCGTTCTAATGATACAATTTCCGTTGAAAAAACAGCTTTAATAATTGTTGTTGTATTTTGAACGATGACGACTATTCATAGTTGCTTGTGTTTACTTACTGCATTATTAGATATTTTCGTTTATGTTTTCTTTCTCTTCTTTACTTTATTTTTATCTCAATCTCTAGTAGACATGTTTCAAATCAAATAATTTTTATTAAAGAAAATCATTAAATCTATAGTTCTGTTATTATTGTCAGATAGTACCGATTCATATTTTGGAAGAAACTAAACACCAGTGGTGGGCAGAATAAGGTTTTTTGCCGTACAGTATATTTAAAGTCAGTTTCATATCGTACAGTAGCAGTTAAAAGAAAAACTCGAACGATTGCCAAAAGGCAAATCTTATTTTTTTTTTCAATTATCATTAATTTCATTAAGTGATCTGATTAAATTAGAAAATGGAAAGAATAAGGGAAAATACATCGATCCACCTACGGCGATTCTTGTGCGGGGACAGTTTATACATCAAATAACAAGCTTGTCTTTACGCTTCTAATAAAGAGACAGGAAATAGAATAAAAATCAGCGACAGTTCATAATAAGTCTAATGAAAATATTATTAAATTTCATTGGATGATAATAGTAGGTATTATGTGGTTATGTGTTCAATAATATTTTGATACGGATTTGAAATAAGATTACACGAAACAACGTTCTGCATTATTACATTAAGGTTATTTATTCCACTGTACGTGTAGAACAATGAATCTTAGAAAACAATAGAAATAACTGTAAAATTCAACTATTCTACATGTAGATCCATACCAGTAACAGCTTCGAAAAAGATCATCGACTCGACATAATCCACAAAATGTTCTAGAAACAAATAAATGGTTAATAAAAAGATTGTGGTGACAAAAAAGTTGTTTTCCTGCAAGATATGACTTTTGCACTTTTTAATATAATATTCTTGTAATGGGTTAAAACTATTTGAAAGAGAAAAGAAGGCAAAAATATCTCATAATAATAGACGATATTCGAAGCTGTAATAGAAAAATAAAGGATATGTAAGACAAAAAAAAAATGAGAATGATTTTTGAAAAGATTTTCTATCTTACTATCGTATATGACAAGTTGAGAAAAATGCCAAAGATTATTAAATATATAAAGAATTCTAACTGTAGACAGTGTAAAACTATTTAAAATTGATGAAGAGATTGACTTATACATATTTTTGATTTGTTTTAGCATGAAATCATCGTATATTGTATCATTATTCTCAATCTGCTTAAGTTATTTGGTCGTTGGCTTACCATCATCATCCTCACTACCAGGTGTTCCAACGCAAGCTCTTCAAGATGCAGAAAACACATTAAATCGTTATAATAAATTAATGGATACAGAAACTGAATATTTAGTATATGGTCTGCTACATATTTTGATGAAACACCCACATGTTTTCCCACAAGTACCACAGAAGGCCTTAGACATCGCAATGAAAAGTCTTGAAAGTAAATTAGGTCGTAATGATGTTGAAATTATTACAAAACCAATCATGTTATCACTGAAACGAGCTGAGAAACCATTAAAAATGACACCACTTATCAAACAAGAAATTACGGATGCCCTGGATGACTTTTTCTCAAAAGATTCCGGAACGTTATTAAGAAAATAATAATAAAAACCTAAATATCGACTATTTCGTAGATGAGCAGAGCAAACGATGACATTACATCTTTTTATTCAATCAGTTTTTGTTGTACGGATTCAGGGCGAATTTGTTTCTTTTTGTCTGGAAAATAATTCTATTCAAAATAAATATTTTTGTTTATTCTCGTCAAATATATTTAATTAAGACATTTTACTATCTTAGTTTAATTTATTAATCAAAGGCCAACATAATGCGAATAATTGAAAATCAAAAACTCGTTGTAAGTATCGTTTATTGTACGGATTCAGCGCGAATTTGTTCGCGCTCAAATAACCATCGTTGTAGAAATTTAAAAATCAAGAACTACAAATGCTTGAACATCTTTTGACAAATAAAGAATTTAAGGTGTTTTCACACTTTTTAAAAGTCAGATTTCTGACTTTTACACGTATGAGATTTTTCCATTCAATTCTTTTAAATCACCGAGATTTTTGTAATGAAAACAAATTGTATATTCAGAATTAGCTTAAAAAACTACCCAGGAGGACATCTTCGATACATTTATCACGATAAGTACTTGTTTTATCGAGACCGTCACAGAGTTCTTACAGTTACGACGATAATTACTTTATTTCGATAAAGTAGCTCATTACCATGACAAAGATTGTCTATCGACAAATCGCGTTAATAAAATGATGGCAATAAACAAGTTACGTTGCCCGATAAATTATTTATCGCTGTAACTCCAAAATCTTCGTGACAGCCTCGATAAAGCAAGCACTTATCAAGCGATATATCGTCCTTATGGGTAAAAGTGTGAGTTTTTGATAGATTTCCAGGGGGGGGAAAAGCATACTTCCATACTTCTCGGTACTTCTTGCTACTTCTCCGTACTTCTGAAGTACGAAAGAGGGAAAAGCGTACTTCGTACTTCAGAAGTACGGAGAAGTACCGAGAAGTACAGAAGTATGCTTTTTCCCCCTTGTAGATTCCACTCAGCACACCGGTAGTCCGTGAGCGAAGTATTTCAAATGTGGACTTTGATATACAGATACGGGATGGAATAATATGTTAGCTGTATCTTCATTTTTCGAGTCTGATGAGACAGACATAATCAGTGCGTCCGTTGTCTTTCTACATACTACAAAAAGGCACAAAAAAGGAAAAACTACTGTTTTGATGTGTTAAGCAGTGATATTGACGGTCCGATATCTCCACAAATTCAGGCGATCTGTTTCTGAAAAATAGCTGAGCATAATGTGTAACTTATTTACTCGAAGTTAGAGTAAAAAAGGCAAGTAAGTCTCAACCTAATGTGATATTAATTGATCAAGCTGACGGATTGTGCATTAAATTCACAGTGAGAGAGAAAAAGATAGAAAATTAAATTTAGTGGAATTTGAGACACTCGTGCAGATAAAATTTTATTGCAGGGCTCAGCTGGACGAGAAAACGCATCATTTTGCGTAGAAAATTCTTTTCTATATTTCAACACTTGTTTGTGGGTTATTTTTGCTAGATATATTTTCTGTATTATACAGAGAATTTTTGTTTACAAATTAATTTAATAAGTTAGCTAAGATATATGTGTGAAGATATAATTTTCGTTCTGGTTCAAGATTAAACCTTAAACCATATGTGTGTGTGTGTGTGTGTGTTAGTTCAAACGTATATGTATCAGATGATCACAACACAAATTGATTCTCATGGTTACTGTTACTAAAATTGGATTGTTTTCAATGTGAAAAAAGAAAAAACTCCTTTTGTATGTGTTAAGGGTACCCCCTCCCCCTCTTTTTTGCAGAAAAGTTATCATTTTGAACTGAACATAATCTGATGTAGATGAAAGTCTGGGCTATAAAATGAGACTACTCTCAGCTCTCCAAACCCATAGAAGAACACGTCAGAAAATTCTGGGCAAAAATACATGTATTTTCTTTTTCGGTGTTCTATCTCTAGTATAATTTAGAACCCGATCCAACATCGACTTCCCTAGTTTCCAAGAGGGTAAAAAAGAGGGGGAGAGGAAGGGGTGGTACCTTTAAGCAGTCCAAGTCTCGTATGCCTTCAGTCCCAATCCAATTCCAGTTGGTGTGAAAAAGTCTATCAGTCTGGACTCAGTTTCAGTCCGGACTTGGACTGGTGATTTGATGTGATTTTTAGCTATGGATATTGATCGTACTACGATAGAAGAAAATTCAGAAAAAGTCCTCTTTCTTTCTGTTTATAATATTAACCGTACTTTTGCACGTACGCACTCACGTGTACGTACGCGTGCTTTACATTTAACATCATTTTCTTAATTAAGACTACAGGAATTTATTTAAAAACTTTGTAATTGTAACGCAGATATAAATGAGTTCGAAAGTATGCTTCTTATTTATTTCTTCGTAAACGTACACAAATAAGAAAGTAGATGCAAAGCAACAAAATATATTTACCAATATCATCGGTGTATATGGATACCGCTGAAGTTGAAAATGATCAGCAGACTATCAACATTCCTCCAAATAATGTTCAACAAAATGTCCAGTTATCAGAAGATCCAAGTTTAATAGTTCAAAACACGATCCAGAATAACGGTCAAAGGTTAAGCAACGGTCAAAATGTTCAACGTAATGGGCAAGCACCTATTGCGATTTCTTCTTCTCTTCGGCATCAAATTGTACAAGTATCAGGCACTTTTGATCAATATGGCGTATTTTATCCGATTCAACCTGAGCAGCAGTTACAATTTATTACTAGATAAATAAATTGCGCCGTTTCTAGAATAAATGACTTAGCCACACTGTTTTGGGAATAAATGTCTCCCTATCGTGCCAAGACAAAATGTCTCGTAGAAGGGAATTTCTAGCATAAATGGCTGTTTTCTAGAATAAATGGCTTTTTTCTTAGCATAAATGGCTAAGCCATTTATTACTTCCTAGCATAAATGGCTCTTGTACTTGCATAAATGGTTCCTATCGTGCAAAGAAAAAATGTGTCTTAGGAGGGAATATCTAGCATAAATGGCTTTTTTTCTCGAATAAATGACCATTTATTGCTTTCTCGAATAAATGGCTGTATGGGCGACGAGAAAAGCTTAGCACTGGAGTTCGTTCCCTAGACAAAAAAGTTTGTGAAATCGTATAAGAATCTCACAAGAATTCATAAGAAATTGGTAAGAGTCAGCAAAACTCGTACGTTATTCTTATCACATTGTTATACGATTCTGATAAGATTCTTGTAGGATTCTTATGAGAAACATGATCGAATCTCCTACAGAAAATTCCCAGTATAGTGCTGAAAAACGTCCGGCGCTATCAGTGCGGACGGCATGCTATGTTGCACCGGTACGTACTAGTTCCACATTTTTCCAGTCATCGTTTGTTATCTACGATTGCACTATGTTTTACTCGGACTTTTCTTCGAGACCATAGTGCAATGAAATTTTAATGCGAGCAGACAATGCTTTGATCTTGTTATAATCTTTATCTGAAAAGGAAAAATCAGTATAAATAGCGAGTCAGGTAGTAAATTCAGAGGATGTACACAGTAAATTCAGCTCTCTGTTCC